TTGCGGGAGGGGTGGGAGAATGAAGGTGGGAATTTGGTGGGAGAGTCGGGAGCGTTTGTTTGCACCACGGAGCCCACCTGCCTTGTCTGTTAAACATGTGGGCTGCGGTAAATGCGTGCAATAATACATTAAATTATGGAATGGGTTAGATTGGGTTGGGTTGGGAGGGACCTTAATGACCATCCAGTCCAACCCCCTGCCATGGGCAGGGACACCTTCCACTAGAAACTGTGTATTAACGATGTATAGTGTACTTAAATCAATACAAATTATATATATATATTGGTTTATATATAAATATATAAATATATAAATATATAAATATATAAATATATAAAATATAAATATAAAAATATATTATACACTATATTTAATATAATATATATACTATATAACACATTAATATAAAGTATATATTTGTTTATACATTATGTATTATAGATTATATTTATACTATAGATTTAATATATTAATATACGATGTATATTTATATATAAATATGTAAATCACGAAATTATATACATATATGAATATAAAAATATAAAAATCTATATAAATATATAAAACCATACATATTACACACACAGATATATATATATATCTATGAATATATAAAAGCCGAAATTCTCCCAAATCCAGATGTCCATACAAAATGAAACCCCGTGTTTCAGCCTTGTGCCTTTCTTCTCATTGCTGCAGGCTTCTCTCTTCCATTTTTAGCATTATTCCTGTATTTTGCTTCCAGCTGGGCCAAAAGGTCATCCATTTCCCTTTCTCGAGCTCCACTTCAGCTTTGAATCAGCGCTTGCAATATATCTTGCAATTTTATAACACGTAATATGTAATAGTAGTATATAATAAAAATAATATATAAATACATAAACTAGATATACAGCTAGATAAATTATATATAGGTAAGATATATATAAATGAGATATTTTTATAGAAATGAGATGTTTTTATAGAAATTAGATGTTTTTATATATATAAAATATATTATATATAAAATATATAGGGATATAAAATATATAAAAATTTATACATCAACAACAATATTAAAGGTAAGTTGGTTGAAGGCTCGGGAAAACCCCTCGACCCCCTTGGAACCGGAATTCCTGCGAATCCCTTGGAGCTGAATCCCTTTGATTCCCTCCGATCGTGACCCCCGTGAACCCCTCGGAGCAGGATCCCTTTAACTCCCTCGGATCTCGATCTCTCTAAACCCCTCGGAGAGGGATTCCGGCGACCCTTTCCGGATCCGGGATCCCTGAGACCCCCTGGATGGGGATCCCTGTGACCCATTGGATGGGGATCCCTATGACCCCCTGGATGGGGATCCCTGTGACCCATTGGATGGGGATCCCTATGACCCCCTGGATGGGGATCCCTGCGACCCATTGGATGGCGATCCCTGCGACCCCCCGGATGGGGATCCCTGCCATCCCCTCTACCCTTGGCCCCCGGGGGCTGCTCCGGGCGGTGTCCCCGCTCTCACCGTCCCTCCTTGTGCCCCTCTCGCAGGCGGGGCAGGATGAGGCCCCTGGACGGCTGGTGCTGGGTGGTGATGCTGCTCCTCGCCCTCTTCAGCGACGTCGCTGGCGGCCGCCGCGGGGGCGGCGGGAGACCCGGGGGTCGCGGAGGCGGCGGAGGGGCCGGGGGGCTCCGCGGGGGCTTCCGCGCCGTGTCCCGCGGCGGGGGCACCCCCGGGCGCGGCTCAAAGGTGGCCGGAGCCATCGCGGCCGGGGCCGCCGCGGGTTACGGGATGGGGCTGCTGGGGCGCCCGCGCCCGTCCCGCCTCGGTCACGGCATCCCCGCGGCCCGGCAGCCCCCACCCGCGGGAGGGTTCCACGCCGCCAGCTGGCCGGACGTGGGGGGCAAGCGGGGACCCCCCAGTCGAGCCCCCCGGCACCGCGGAGGCATCGGCCTGGCCCTGCTCTTGGCATCCACCGCCTGCCTCGTCAGCCACGGGATGCAGCGCTGAGCGCACCCCGGGACCCCCGGCCGGCCCGGCCCGACCCGACCCGACCCGCCGGGATTTCTCAGCGGGTGACTTTCCTGGGAGATTAAGATGTGGCTTGAGGGGGGAGGTGGAAGAGATGCTCCGTGGCTGCCTCAGCGCCCTCGCTCCTCTCCCCGGAGCTGGGCAGCCATGCCGGTGCTAACGAGGACACCTGGGAGCTTGGGTGGATCCTGGAAAACCCGGTCCGCGCGGACACCCACGCGAGCGAATCCAGCCCTGCGAGGACCTGGGGATACCTGCGCCTGGAGCGACGCTGGAGCGGCCCCGCCAGCGCTCGGCTCTGCTTTCCCACGGCACGGCTTTGCCAAAGAAACCGCTCCTTTGCCCCCCCGAAAGAGCGCTGGGACTTGCGGGGAGGGGAGGATGTGGGGCTTGGAAATGGACCCCTCTGCCTTGCAATAAAGTTTGGCCTTGAGACATCCTCTGTTTTTAGCCAAATCCTTCGTCTTTAGCACCAGGAACAACTCCAGGGAGAGCCACATCTCCAAGGGACGCTGCGGGGGGTGAGGGTGGTGCCTGGGGACAAACCCCTCTCGGTCCCTTCTCTCGGGCTTTCATATGATCAATCCCAATCTTTGATATCCCGATCTTTAACATCTTCTGCCCAAAACACACTCAGATCTCAGGTGTTTGGCAGAGAGGATGCAAACCCTCCCTAGAAGAGCTTAAAAGGAACAGGGAGGGATATTTTGCCCTCCAGCGGCTGCGATTTCTTCTCTGATCCCTGTCCGGGGTGCTTAAACCTTCCCTAAATCCTGGTTTAGCTGAGCAGCTCGACCACCGCTGTGAGAAAAGAAAATAAAGGGGTACCAAGTGAAAAATTTGGAATCCCAAAGGAGTTTGTGGGCAGGTGTAAATCCTCCAGCAGGTAAGTCCTCACTGAAGGGTTTTTGAGCCTGGATGTTTGTGAATGTGTCACCTCTCCTTGGAATTTATGGGTTTTTTTGGGTATAAACATCCTTATCGTCTCCCCAGGGGGAGCAGGTGAGTCAGGTCTCACCTCTTTTAAGGGATGGAAAGAGCCCTGGCTGATTCCTTTTACAAGGACATGGAGTGCCAGGATAAGGGGAAATGGTTTCTTACTGCCAGAGGGCAGTGGCGGATGGGATACTGGGAAGGAGTTCTTCCCTGTGAGGGTGCTGAGGGGCTGGGATGACATTCCCAGAGAAGCTGTGGCTGCCCCTGGATCCCTGGGAGTCTCCAAGGCCAGGCTGGAGCAACCTGGGCTAGTGGAAGGTGTCCCTGCCCATGGCAGGGGGTGGGAATGGATGAGTTTCAAAGTCCCTTCCAACCCAAACCATTCCAGGATTCCATGATAAGCTCCTGTGCCCACCCAGCTTAATTTCTAGCCCCTGAAAAGGGTTGCACTGCAGGAAAAAGCCTCAAAAGCCTCATGAATCACCTTGAACTGGGGATTTTGAGGTTGCACGGTCAGCTGGGACAGTGGGGCTACTCCTGAGCCTCCCAGACTCCAAGTTCCCTCGGGATGTGCTTTTCCAGGAGAGTGGTCGCGGTCACATCGAGACATTTCCGCACACTTTGCTCTGAAACGGAGACAGAGCGAGCTGGAAAGCTCAGCCGGGTTTTGGAGCGTCCTTTGGGATCTCCAGCCTTGTAAAACGCTGATTCCAGGAGGAGCTGGAGCCGGGGCTGGACTCGGCCGGGAGATGGAGCTGTTCGCCAGGCGATGCCGATGCTGCTCCCCCGGCACGGATCAAACCACCCCGGACGAGGTTCGGGCTCCTGCTTTGCTTTTCAATCCTCTAAATCAGACTATTTCCCCCCACCCCCCCCCCGGCTCTCCGCAAACCGTGCGCCAAAATTCTTCTTTTCACGCAGGAAAAATATATTCGGTTGCCTCGGCTGGGTGGGGGATGTTCGTTTGTTCGTGGGGATGAGGGATGTTTATTTGTGGAGGTGGGGAATGTTTATTTGTGGAGATTGGGTGAGATGAGAGATTTGGAGAAGAGTATCAAAAACCCCAACCCCCAAAATGTTATTGTGTTTATATTTGGGTTGTATTTATTTATTATCATCCTGACAAGCGCTCCCCATCCCGGGTTGGCAGAGCAGCTCCTGCCCACGCCGCAGGGTTTGGAGCATTTAGCTAATTAATGTGGCTCACAGATCACTCCGGGGGCTCCAGGGTTGCTGCATCCAAATGTCCTTGAAGGTCACAAAGGTTCAGATCGTGTCCCCACATCCTGTTTGAGTATCCCCTAAAAAAACAACTCCAATAATCACCCAAACCCCAATACACCCAGAGGGGGTAGAATTGGGTGCTGAGTATGCAAATGGGGGGAAATGTTATTTTTGAGCTCATCTGAGCACTGCCAAGGTTGGTGTTTGCCCTGCTTGGGAGGGCTGGAGCAGCTTCCCTGTGCTGGGAGGGGGAAGGAAATATGAAGGGGGGGGGGTTAGGTTAAAAATTAGCATTTTTAGTGCTGTTACCGAGGTCAAAACTTTCCCGAGGGGAATTCATTGTGCAGGTGCTGCCAGCCCCTTCCTGGAAATATCCATGTATTCATCTTGGAAAATAAAAGATTATTTTTCCCCTCCATTGTCTTAGGGGATTTTTTTTTTCCATTCTCTTTTGTGAGGGTGGGCATTTCTTCCTTCCTTCGTTTAGGGGATTTTTCATCCTCCCACTGGGTTTCAGTTTGTCAGTGCCAGGTCTGTTGGGGGTTGAGGGGTGGTTGGAAAATGCAAGTAAAGCTGGAAATTAATTGCACTGAGACTGATTTTTATCGAGCCTGGGCTGATCCCACAGCCTGGGCAGCAGATGAGGGGGGGATTCTGCCCCTTCTGTCCCCTCAGGTGAGACCCCACCTGCAGAGCTGCTCCAGCCCTGGAATCCCCACAATCTGAAGGATTTGGAGCTGCTGGAGAGAGTCCAGAGGAGGCCCCGGAGCTGCTGCCAGGGCTGGAGCCCCTCTGCTCTGGAGCCAGGCTGGGACAGCTGGAGGGTTCACCTGGAGAAGAGAAGGATCCAGGGAGAGCTGAGAGCCCCTTGCAGGGCCTAAAGGGGCTCCAGGAGAGCTGGAGAGGGACTGGGGACAAGGGGTGGAGGGACAGGACACAGGGAATGGCTTCCCAGTGCCAGAGGGCAGGGAGAGATGGGATATTGGGAAAGGATTGTTGGCTGTGAGGGTGTTGAGGGGCTGGGATGGAATTCCCAGAGAAGCTGTGGCTGCCCCTGGATCCCTGGGAGTGTCCAAGGCCAGGTTGGAGCAACCTGGGCTAGTGGAAGGTGTCCCTGCCCATGGCAGGGGGTGGGAATGGATGGGCTTTAAGGTCCCTTCCAACCCAAAGCATTCCAGGACTTTATGATTAAGCAGGGTTTGGGTGAGGTCACCGAAACAGCAAATGTAAAAACTCTTTTATTAGGCAGAAATTAGACAGAAATTAGAAAATATTTCGTTGGACTTCTGTGACAGCATTAGTGGGAGCAGGGGGAGGGGAAAGGGTTAACTGAGACTGTTGGGTTGAGATTGTGGGGTTGAGGCCAAATTTGGTGTTGAAAGTGGAACAAAGGGTTCCCACAGGCCACCAAATGCCAGGAAATGCGGCAGCTTCTGGCTCCTCCGGGGGAGGGGGGGTGGGGGGTGGGCCCGGGGCTGCTTGCAGGAAGGAGGCTGATGGTGCAAACTCGGCTTAATCTGTTTTAATCTGTACCAGAACACTTAGAAAAGTATCAGAACCGCAGACTCGGAGCATGCGCCGCCCGCCCGGGGGGGGGTTTACAAAAACATCCGCGCGTCACAAAGCACGGGGAGGGGGGGAACCTCAAAGCCCTCAAATCCCTGCTTCTCCTGTAGGGACCTCGAGAGATCCCTCTCTATTCCTGGAGATATAGATATATTTATAGATATATTTATATTTCTTCACTTAGCTTACACTGATGCAAATAAAAAAGAAAACAAACGAACAAACTGATTTAGGTGTCATTCAGTGCCTTGCAAAAAAAAACAAACAAAGAAAACAAAACAAAACAAAACACGAGATATGTTAAACAGGACTGGGCTGACCAAGTGTTGCAGACGCTGCGGGTCCCTCGCGACCCGGCTCATGAGGAGCGAGAATTCCACCTGCTGCTTCCACGTGTCACAGGAATGACTCAGGAGCGTGGTTTTCATGAAGCATCTCCCATCCCAGGCGTGTTTTTCCTGGTGCTGTAACTCTGTGATTCAGCTGATTTACGTCTCTCGCGAAGTGCTTGACCCGCCCCGAGCATCCTTTTTGGCTGCATTTTGACTTCCTCTAGGTCAAGGTGCTGGAGGATGAGAGTGAACTTGTTGCCTGTAGCATCCAAAATAGCTTCTCCTCGGGCTGTAATACAGCGTTTTGGGGGGGTATTTTGGGGCATTCAGCAGCATTTTTTGCCTTTGGTAGGCTGGGAAAGACCGACCAGCGCTTCAGCCTCATCGAGGGGGGAGGGGAATAAAATCTGACTTTGTTTTGGTGTGTTGCTGCAGGAGGGTTTTGCAGCATGCAGAGGAGTGGAGGGGCAAGTCCGTATATACATGGGGAAGGGTGGGATTTTTTAGGATTAAAGGGTTAAAATTGCAACCTGGCAGCTTGTTGCCTGGAAACCCCATGTCTGCCCCTACCCTGGGGGATAGAGGTGCTTGGGTGCCCCGGGGGAAAGGGGTGGCAGCGGGACTAAGGGGGTTAAATAAAACCCTGCTCGTTAGCAAAGGGCATTTTTGGAGATGCTCTTGCATTTTGGAGATGCCAAGGAGAGCTCCCCTCTGCCTGGTCCCTCTCGGGGTGGCCCCCGAGGAGGAGGAGGAGGTGGTGAAGGCCATGTTTTTTTTTGGGGTACATCCAGCTGTCCTGCCTCGCTGGGGACGCGTTTGGAGTGGAGAAGGAAACTTTCATCCAGTTGCCTGAACCAGAGACAACCCCAAGGAAGTGATAGGGGTAAACCCCAAGGAGCTGATAGGGGTAAACCCCAAGGAGGTGGTGGAGGGGAACCCCAAGGAAGTGATGGGGATAAACCCCAAGGAGGTGGTGGGGGTAAACCCCAAGGAACTGATGGAGGGGAACCCCAAGGAGCTGATGGAAGAGAACCCCAAGGAGCTGATGGAAGAGAACCCCAAGGAGCTGATGGAAGGGAACCCCAAGGAGGTGACGGGGAGCGCCGGCGCCCGCGCGCCCCAAGGGCTCTTCACCAACGACGACCGCAAGCAAGAACGGGGAGGTCGGGGGGGGTCCCCACGGGGACACGGGTGACACCTCAAAGCCGTGGGATCCCGGGCCCCCTCAGTGCATGGCGAAGAGGACGAGGAGCAGGAGGGCGGCGAGCGAGGCGTCGGCGAGGTGCAGCCGGATGCCGTTGGCCAGGCGGTACTCGCGGTACTGCTGGACGCACATCTCCCGGATCACCTTGGTCACCACCTTGTTCTCCAGCTCCACCTCCGTCTGGTTGACGGCCTGCCCGGCGTCCGAGGCGTTCTTCTTGGCGGCGGGGCCGATGCTGTGCTCGGTGACGGTGATGTTGAAGCAGTCGGCCACGAAGACGTCCTGCGGGACGTAGCCGTCGTACTGGCGGTAGTACACCTGGTTGGGGTAGCGCCCGGCGTTCTCGTTCCACCAGCGGTACTCGTCGGGGCTGTCGAAGCGGTAGTGCATCCCCGACATGGCCCTGCCCATGGCGTAGCCCCCCAGCCCCCCCACCACGGCGCCCGCCGCCGCCGCCCCCGCCACGTGCTTGAGGTTGGTCTTGGATTTGGGAGCTTTCCACGGCTTCTGGTTGTGGTAGGTGCCCCCGCTGGAGGGGTTGTAGCCCTGGCCCCAGCCCGGGTAGCCGGGGTTGTGGGGGTAGCCCGGGTTGTGTGGGTAGCCGGGGTTGTGGGGGTAGCCCGGGTTATGGGGGTAGCCCTGGTGTTGGGGGTAGCCGGGCTGGCGGGGGTAGCTGGGCTGGCGGTGGCTCCCCGTGCCCCACCCGCCCCCGCCGGGTTTGCCTTTGCCCTTCTTGGAGAAGGCGACGTCGGTGCAGATGCCGAGGAGCAGGACCACCAGGGAGCAGGTGAGCAGGAGCCTGGCCATGGCTGTGGGGCACAAGGACACGGGGATGGGGAGAGTCAGGGCAGGTAGGCAGAGACCCCCCCGGCTCAAGGCTCCCGCACTCACATACTGAATAAAACACATTTCACCCCCCTAAATCCACCTGCAGAACCAACAGCTTTGCACTGAAATGCATATTTATCTCCCCCCCTCAAAGTATTTATCCCCCCCCAAATATATATATATTTTATATATATATTTATTTTGTTATATATATATATATATATTCCCCCCCCCATGGGTTTCAGCAATTTTAAGCAGTGAAAGAAAAAGCTTTCGGGGAAAAAAAAAGAAAAAAAAAAGCCTCAATTAACTGGGAGGTAAAACCCCACTTATCAGACCTGCTCTGTCTAATTAGGTGGCATAAATGGGATTTCTGATGGGATTCCAGGATCAATGCAGTGCACGGATCCAGCCCAATCCCAAAGCTTTTGGGTTCTCAGTGCTGCCAGGAGGGCAACGCCCAGCTGGGCCCTGGAGGTTTTATATTCCCACGGAACAGAATCCAGCGTGTTTTGCCCAGATCCCTGTTAATGTGCAACAGACCTGAAGTGAAAACCAGCGTTTTTTGAGTTTAACGTGTTTGCAATTATCCCTTACTCAGCGTTTCCCGCTGGCATTCCAGGGACAGGCCAGGAATCTCCCACATCAGCTGGTGGGCTGGCAAGGCTGAAATCCCATTTAACGAGCTGTTTCTCTCCCTGTGTGTATAATCCAGCCCCTATAATACACACCAGGCCTGCAAATCCTTTGGAAAGACCTTAGGAAAGCACCTCCAGGATCCCCTTGGATGCCTCCCTGCAAAGCCAAGGGCACTGATTTGCTGCTCCTCTCGTGTTTGATTTGTCAGTGCACCACGGCAAAGGGTTTTTCCATCCTTCCTGAGCCCGAGCTATCCCCCAAAATCCCACGCCAGGAGGCTGGGGAGGGCGAGTGAAGCATTCTCAGTGTGGGTGGGCGTTTCACAGCGCCCTTGGATGTGCTTTCTTCCTCGTGTTACAGCAAGAAACAATTAAATGTAGGTCCTAAATGGATTTTTTTTTTTTGCAGCAACTAATGGGCCAATTTCCTTAAAATTCACCCCTTCCCCCAGGGATAACCCTAATGCAAGTAGGAAGTGATGGTCTCTCCTGAGATATCACCCTTAACAGCCAAAGACGCCAAACAACCCCCTGTTTAAACCACAGATTCTTCTGCTGCAACCTAGATACCGTTTTATGGGCCATAAAAAGCAAATTAATCTCTCCCCGGGTTCAGATAATGATGTTTTTCCCTCCACCCTCCATAAAATCTGGTCTTATGTCGAGAAACGCTTGAATTAAAGCCTTTAAGAGGTCTGTGTTTGGGTGGGAACGCCTGCAAAAGGCCTAAAGGAAAGAGCAGGGAGGATGCACGAGCCTGTCCCTGCTGATGGGGAGGAATTCCAGGCTTGGGCAGCCTGCTCATGGAAAAATCTGGGCTCAAACCACCCTCTTCGGAGCGGGTTTGCTGCCTCCTCACCCTCGGCACCCACCCGCTGGGGGCAGGGATGAGATCAGGGGGTTAAAAATAGCTGAGGAGACACGGCAGAAACAACAAAACCTGGGTGAAAATCTGGAAATGGGGGGGGGGGGGGGGGGGGGGAGGGGGATGGCAGCAAAATAGCAATTATTAATTTTTTTTTTTTTTCTGAGATATCACTCCCCTCGCTGAGTTCCAAAGGGGGGGAAAAAATATCAGCCCCTGGATGAAAACAGGTTACGGCAAAGCCCCGGAGGATGTTCCAGCCCAGCAGCTCTGACCTGCTCCTCTAATTGCCTTCGCAGAGCTGAGCTCTGATAAACAGGGCGAAGGCTCGTTAGCGTCGCGCTAATTAACGAGCTCCGAGCTTCGCCCCGATAAAACGGGTTCCCTGGCACAAACCCGGGGGTGATGGGGCATCAGGAGCCCCTTCCCCGGCCTCGGAGCCGGGAGATCCCTCTGCCTGGAAATAACATCCCTGCTGCGACCAGGATATCGATATTAAATTATGGCACCGAATGGCTTCGCAGGTATTTTGCCCCGGCTCTGTTTAACCTTCCTCCCCTCTCTGCGGATGTGGGAAAGGAGGAATTAATTCAGGTGGTTTGGAGCGGGGCGATTTCTCCATTTCTCTCCGTGCTGGAGAGGGAGAACGGGAGGAATTCTGCGCTCCTTCAGGGCACAGGGGGGAGTGGAAAATGGAGGCTGCGATCACGAGCAGCAATTACGTGCTCGGGGTTGGCAAGGAGGAAGTTTCGGGTTTAGAGGGGAAAACCAACACCCCGGTGCCAAAACAACTGTGGAAATAACCTTGGTAAGGTGCCCGCGGCGAGGGAGAGGGTGGGGGAAGGAGCAACGGGGGGAGGGGGGTGTGGAAGGTGGAGGTGGGAAGATGCTCGGGAATGGGGGGGCGTCCAGACCCTCCCGGCGATCCCGGCTGGTGGGGGATGGAAATTCCAGGCTGGGGGTTTTGGGAAAGGGGGGCTGCAAGCTGGCTGTTTGCTCTCTCAACATGTCACCTCTAGTTTTAGGAATCCTCCCCCCTCCCCTTTTTTTTTGTTTATTTTTTTTTTCTGTCAATCCCCCCAAATAACCAGGGGGAGCATCTGGGAGACGAGGGAAAGGACAAAAAACCCCTCCAAGGAAAAATTCCCCGCCGGCATCAGCGCCGAAGGAGCGCTGAGTAAACAAGCACCGGGCAAAGCCGAGCTCCGGCTTTTAAGGAGACGCTGGAAATGTCTATTTTTAGGCGGCGATGGCAGCGAAAGGAGGCAGCTCCCCATCCCCGCGATGCTGTTCGGCGTTCAAACCCCCCTCGCCCCTGGATTTATCCTTCCCCCCGGAACCCCCGCGCCCCTTTTTCCCCGGCACTCACCGGCTGGCAGCTCCTTCCCTGCTCGGCTCGAGGTGATTCAGCCCCGGCAGCTCCGGGGAGGAATAAATAGCGAGAGGGAGGAGCCGGCTCTGCGCAGCCCAGCCCTGCACAGCCTGGCCAGGATCCATCCCCTTCCTTCCCTAGGGAATACCGCGACCCCCCCCCCCCCTCCAAAAACCGGCCGTCACCCCCAACCCAGCCCTCCCGGAGGATGCGGGAATGCGGGAGCATCGCCGATGGGCACAAGGAGTGCCTGGCAAACCGCAGCTCTCCCGGAGAAATAGCGGGGATAGGGAAACCTTGGAAAACAGCGGGGCTTGAATGGTTTCATTGAAGGAACGCCAGGGTTTGGGGCTGGTTCGGAAATCTCGGAGTGCTGCGGCGTTTGGATTTTGTGCTGAGGAAGTATCGGGATGTGTGCCTGGGTTGGGAATCTTGGAAGGGTTTGTTGAATGGATAGCGATGGGATCAGCAGGGTTTGGGGCTGGTTTGGAAATCTTGGAATACTGCAGCGTTTGGATTTAACGCTTGAAGAAATATCAGGGTTCGGGGCTGGTCTGGAAACCTTGGAAAATCGCAGAACTTGGACGGTTTTATCGAAGAAATATAAGTGGAATCAGAAGGGTTTGGAAATCTTGGAATGTCGCAGCATTTGCCTTTTGTACCAAAGAAATATCAGGGTTTGAGGCTGATTTGAAAATCCTGGAAAACGACAGAGCTCGGATGGTTTATTGAAGAAATATTGAATGGAATGACAGGGTTGGGGGCTGATTTGGGAATCTTGGAAAATTGCAGCATTTGGATGGTTTATTGGAGAGTATCAATGGGGTCAGCAGGGTTTGGGGCTGGGTTGGAAATCTTGGGAAATCGCAGAGTTTGGGTTGTTTGTTGAAGAATATCAATGGGATGAGCAGGTCTGGGGCTGGTTTGGGAATCTCATGGTTTCCTTTCTCCGTGGAAAGGAAAGGAAAGGATGCTTTCAGCACTTACTGGCTGTAGCTCCAAGCCCATTATCCATCATCCTGTGAAACAGGGAGCTGTTCTGTGGATTGATGGAGCAGAAATAAAACAAGCTCAGACCTGTGGGAGAAAGGAGGAATCTGCCTCCAGAGTTTGTCTCATTCCAGAGGGGGAAAACTCACTCTTGCAGTCACAGTTTCTGTTGAGTTATCCTGATCTTTAATGGGAGGAAACACCACAGAGGGCGACTAAAAATTCCCTGGGATGCTCGTGGCAAAGTGGGGCTTTTTCATGGGGTAAGAATATGTGGTTGGAATACACAGGGACCTAAAGGCCAGGATGGGGAGTTTTCCCATCCTTTAGGATTAGGATGGGCTGTAATAAACAGTTGTGGGCCAGAGAAACCTGGGCTGGTTGTGTGGAGGTTGGGAGATGCAAATGAAGCTGGAAATTAATTGCACTGAGACTGATTTTTATCGAGCCTGGGCTGCTCCTGCGGGGATTCTGCCCCCTCTGCCCCCTCAGGTGGGACCTAACCTGCAGAGCTGCTCCAGCCCTGGAATCCCCACAATCAGAAGGATTTGGAGCTGCTGGAGAGAGTCCAGAGGAGGCCCCAGAGCTGCTCCCAGGGCTGGAGCCCCTCTGCTCTGGAGCCAGGCTGGGACAGCTGGGGGGGTCACCTGGAGAAGAGAAGGATCCAGGGAGAGCTGAGAGCCCCTTGCAGGGCCTAAAGGGGCTCCAGGAGAGCTGGAGAGGGACTGGGGACAAGGGATGGAGGGACAGGACACAGGGAATGGCTTCCCAGTGCCAGAGGGCAGGGAGAGAGGGGATATTGGGAAGGAACTGTTGGCTGTGAGGGTGTTGAGGGGCTGGGCTGGAATTCCAGAGAAGCTGTGGCTGCCCCTGGATCCCTGGAAGTGTCCAAGGCCAGGCTGGAAGGGGCTTGGAGCAATCTGGGATGGTGGAAGGTGTCCCTGCACATGGAATGGGCTGGGTTTTGAGGTCACTTCCAGCCCTAAACATTCCAGGATTTTATGTTTTTAACTCAGCCACTGATACAGCCAAAGCTCTCCTGAGGTTCTGCTGGGCCAGGAATGTCCATCCCCACCCCTGGACTTCAGAGCACATCTGACTGTAAAGGGAGTTTCACCCTGATGCTCCATTCCCTGGTTTATCCATCTGGCTGGATTATTTTAAAAAATTAAAGTGGTTTCTGTCTGGTAGGGAAAAGGGCTGTACTGGGAGCTTGGGCTGTGCTGGGAAGAACTGGATATTCATTTCTGGAGGAGAAAAATAAATAGCAGGGCAGGATCAAGGTGTGTGAGCCTGTCAAGGCCCTCTCCTGCAGGAGATATTTATTCCATGTGTCAGTGCACAGATGGCTCCTGATTCCCTGCTCCTGATTCCCTGCTTCCCTGGGTTATCCAAAATCCCAAGCCAGGAAGAGAGAGAAATACAGCACTGGGAACGAGATGTTTGGGATTAACCCATCCACAGCTTCTAAAAATCATGATTTTCCTGTACTAAAATATTTTGAAGGAAGTTTTGGTCTTGTTTGGTGAAATAAAGGAAGTCTGTTAAGATTCCAGCTGCAAAATGGAGCAGGAGCAGCCTGTGGATTATTAATGAATTTTTAATTTATCCTGGAAGTTATGGGGCTAAACCCACCCAGCCCAGTGTACCCAGGGCTTGTCTTTAATAGGGCCAAGTGGGTTTTTGGCCTCTCAGAAGGGTAAAATTTCTCTCAGCTTCAAGGCAGGAGCTGCATCGATCTGCACTGGAGGTTTGGCCCTTCTTCATCCCCAGGGGACAGTGGAAATAACACAACAGGCTCTGTGCCAGCTTAAAAATCATTAATGGGATGAGATTTTCTCGTAAGGGAGGGAAAATGCTGACTTGGGTTGAATGGTGAGCTGGGGAAGGGGGTGGGTTCGTCTCCTTCAATGCTCCTCATTGATTTTTTTTATGGTTTTTTATGGTTTTAATTCATGCAAAACACTTTTATTCACAGAACTCTGGGCTTACCTGGAGAAGCAGCTGCAACTTGGGGGAGTCTGTGAGGGATTTCCTGGGGTTTTGGGGTGATCTGGGAGGGGGTTGGAGGTGGGGATGGGGCCCCACAGCCTCAGCCCATCCCACTGTCCCTCCCTGGAGCCAGCAAAAAAAGCCTGAGCTCAAGCTCATCCCACCTCAAATCCCACTAAATTCATCCAGAAACATCCCTGAACCCTCCTAATGCAAAAATAATTGGGAATAAGGGCTGTGTTCGGGGGGTTAATGGAAGGTGTTTCGCAGAACTGGGTTTATTTTCTGACCTCACCATGGAACTGGCTCTTGGAAGGAAAACTCCTCGGGTTTTTCTGGGGATTCAGATTATATCTCTGCAATATTTGGCTCCTGCCTGGATGAGAGCAGAGGAAAGGCAATTTGGGGACTGAATGGGGTGATGGCAGCACTGGGGAAGGAAAGCAGTGGGGGCACTTCCTTCCCTGCCAGAAGGGAAGATGCCACTCAGGCTGTTACTCTCCCATCCCAGTGTCTAATTAAAACACTGATGTTTTATTAGGATATTTTGCGCTTTTTTTTTAATGTGGTTGCACACCAGGGGTGAAGCTATGCTGGGCCTTCAGCCCTGCAAGACCCCAGGAAGGAGAAAAGAGAGGAAAGAAATGTCATTTTCCCCTGATTTGTAATGAAAGAAGGTCTTTACCTGCCCCATTACTCTGGATTCAGCTGCAGGATTACACAGCTCATGGGTGGTGTTCCTCTCCTTTGCTCTTGACATCCTTAATTTTTCCTGTAAAAAATAATAAATAAAAAAAAAAAAAAAAAGGATTTCAAAAGGATAAAAAAGTGTTCAAGGCCAGGAGCAACCTGGCCTGGTGGAAGGTGTCCCTGCCCGTGGCAGGGGGTGGCACTGGGTGGGTTTTAAGGTCCTTTCTAACCTAAACCCTTCCAGGATTCCATGATGACATGAATTTTTAGCCTTTTCCATGGCTGAAATCAGGCCAGGAGTTAAAACTGGCAGGAGCAGGGGGTTGAATCCACACACACTTCCAGAATGTCATGGGTTACGTAACCTGTGATGGAAAGGAGGAGAAATCCCCGCAATTCCCTAAATCCCACAGGCACGTCAGGGCACGAGGAACGTGCCAGGGGGGAGGAACCAACAGAGGGGGGGGAAAAAAATTCCACCCAGCCAAACTTTCCACCCAGCACCTCCTGCTGCTTCCAGGATGGGGGTTTCCTCCTTGGCCAGAGGCTGCCAAGCCAAGGATTTCATGGAAAAAGGGAATCAGTGCGTGGCCTTGTCCCTTCCACGTGGATCTGCTTCCCTCAGCGCTGATGTCATTTTGGAACAGGATCCAGGGGCAGATGTGACTCACAGGCACCAGGAAGGACCCTGCCAGCATTTTCCTGCTCCAGGTTTTTGGGGGGAGAAAGCAGCAAATAAGGCAAAGCTTTTCCTTGTTGGGCTTCAGAGGCAAAGCCGGGTCCTCCAGGAAGCAGATGGGCCAAATTAATTTGTTATTAATTTCTCTTCCTCGGGATTGGCAAGTGGAATGTGAAATATTGGGGGCTGCAAATGCCCTCCTGCTCTTCACTGTTGGACGGTGTCTTGAAGAGGCTCTAAATGATCATCCGTGGGGTTGAAAATGATCATCCACGGGGTTAAAAATGATCATAAATGGGGCTGTAAAATGGTCATCCACAGGGTTAAAAATGTTCATGATAAGGGTAAAAATGTTCAATTAAAAATGTTCATCCATGGGGTTAAAAATGTTCATCTGTGGGGTTATAAATGTGCATCCACTGGGCTAAAAATGTTCATTCATTGGGTTAAAAATCTAGGGGGTTTAAAATGTTCATTATAGGGTTATAAATGTTCAGTTAAAAATGTTCATCCATGGGGTAAAAATTGTCCATCCATAGGGTTAAAAATGTTCATCCGTGGGGTTATAAATGTTCAGAAATAGGGTTTAAATCTTCATTCACAGGGTTAAAAGTGTTCATCCATGGGGTTACAAGTGTTTACCCATCAGGTTATAAATGTTCATCCTTGGGGTTAAAAGTACTAATCCCTGGGGTTGTAGATGCTCATCCAGAGGGGTTGTATGTGCTCATCCCTGGGGTTATAAATGTCTATCCGTGGGGTAATAAGTGTTTTTCCACCAGGTTATAAATGTCCATCCAGCTCTACAAGCTGATTAGGGGTGTAATGACTCTGCTCGTGTGCTCGTTGCTATTCCAGGCAGGGACAAGGAAAAGCTCCTTAGGGATGGGAGGGACCTTCCCCTGCCCTCCCTGACTCAGGGTGATGCCATCCCAGTGAGGCACCGAGGCTTGGGGAGGAGAACCTGCCTGGGATACAGCTCCCAAAAATGGGCCTTTGACCTCTCCCAGGCACGGGGACATCACCTGGGTGATAAGAGCTTTTATTAAAATGAAATGAAATTAAATGAAATTAAATGAAATCAAATTAAATTAAATTAAAAAATAAAATAAAATAAAATTTTAAAAACCCAAAATGTAATAAAAAGATAAAAAGAGAAAATAAAATGAATAAAAATACAATACATAAAATAAAGCAAAAATAGAAAATAAAAATATAAAATAAATAAATTAATGAAATAAAATAGCATTAAAAATTATAAAATAAATAAATAAAGAAATATTATAAAATAAATAAATAAATACCATAAAATAAATAAAATAAATAAGTGAGTGAAATTAAATAATATAGCATAAAATAGAAATATAAATTAAAATAAGTAAAATAAATATCCAAAAGAAATATCATAAAATGAAAATATAGAATAAAATAGATAAAATGTATAAAGAAAAATAAAAAATTATAAAATGAAATAAGATTAAATAAATAAATTAAATAAGATTAGATAAATAAAAATAACAAAATGCTTATCTGGAAATACTTTTTATTTAGGAATAAGAAGTGATAATAAAAGTGCTTTGAAGTGTAAAAAAAAAAACCAAAAAAAAAAACAACAAATCAAGCTTGTGTGTTCGAGCCTCCATCTGGATTGATCTGGGGGAGATGGGAGAGAAGTCATTCCAACTTGTTGAAGATATTTGGTATCTGCTCCAGTTTCCACCCAGCACTGGGTTTAAAAACAACCTTTCCCAGTGCCTTGGGAGCAGGACACGAACAATCCCCTGCTGTGTCCGGGGAAGGGCCGTGACCCTCCCCGGGAAGGGCTCGCTCTGTCCTTTGTGTCAATCAATGAACCTCCTGTTCCTCCCTCGGGGCCGCCTTCGGGCTCCTGGAAAACGCGATGTTCCTCCCTGGGACATCCTCCAGGGACAAACTCCTTCCCAGCGGGGCCTTCCTCCCCCTCCAGCTTGGGAACCCCCGAACATCCATCCCTCTGCTTTCCTTCCCTCGGAGCAGGGTGTGCAAGCCCTGACCCTCCGGGAGGTTTCCCTCTCCTCTCTCCCCTCCTTCCCTCCCGGTTATTTTTACCCCGCTCGGGGCTCGGAGCCACCCGGGGGGGGTGACACGAGGCGGGCGGGCTGAGGTCACCTCCTCCAAAATAACCCCCGGGCACGGCCGGGGTTTGGGAGAACTCGCTGCCAGCTCCGCGGCTTTTGCCATCAGTCACCCCTGTGAGCTCAGATCCCGCTCCGGGAAATCGCCCCTGTCCCGGAATCCCCCGGCCCTGATTGCCAAGAGCTCGTGGGAAAATTCGGGCTGGCCTTGTTGAAATGCGTTCCCAAGAACGAGCAGCTTTGTGGAGGAGGGATGGATGCAGGGATAACGTCCCTGGGCTCCCTGCGCGTTCCTGCCTGTGCTGAGTTGCGAAACGAGCAGGAAAAAATCGGTTTTCCCCGTGGGAAAAGGGGCTGTGGGTGAGCTGGAGAAAGCTGAACCCCAGAAAATGCAGGTAATTGCTTGATTTTTATTTAAAAAAAGCCCACTAAATCAAGTAATAGACCGAATCAAGGACAAGTTTGGAGATGGAGAAATATTTTTTTTAAATATAATTTTTAAAAAATTTATTTCTAAAATATATTTTTAAATACATATTTTCCAAATATTTATTGTTAATTTTTAAAAAGTATTTTAATGTTATTTTTAAATTTTTATTTTATTTTTATTTTTATTCAATGTTAATTTTTAATTTTTATTTAATTTTAAATTTTATTTTTATTTTAATTTTCCATTTTGTTTTATTTTATTGAATTTTAATTTAAAATTTATGTTTGCATTTTTTAAAAAAATTAAAATATTTTTTAAATTATGGTTTTCTCTTATGTACCTAATTTTGGCCCAGGCTTTTGCCTCGTTCATTCACCTGAGAAGAAAACAATCTTTTACCTCCCCTGACCTGGTTTCTCACTCACATGCTTGGTGAGGATGAGATGATTAAACCCAACTGGCTCACCAAACAGTCGTGTAAATCCTCTTAGCTGAGCTGGGGGTGATGTTTCCACTCAGATTTCCCCCTCTCCCTCCATGGAAAGTGTTCCCAGGGCTGGGGCCTTGTGGGGTTTCATCCCCTGTTGCTCTGGGTGTAAATGAGAACAAGCAAAGACAAACTGGGGGTGGGAAATGCGTGCTGAGGGAAATCAGGTCAGATCTTTAGGATGAAATCCTAAATCCAAAATGAAATCCCATGGGATGTGTCGCCTCCCATCCCTTTTGGAGCATCCTCCAGCTGGGATGTTGCCCCAGGATGACACAGGACTTTGTCCAAAGCTTTCCTTTCCCCTAAAGCCACGATTTCAAGGCTTGTGGTTTGTAAATGTAACCACAGGGACCTTTATACACCGAATATTCCACCATTATATGTCAAATCCGCTCCTCCTCAGGCCCTTTTTTTCTTGGAAAAGCTTTGCCATCAGCAGGGTGGGAGCAGGAACAAGCCAACAGGAATTGTCTGGCAGCAGGAAAAGCCCAGGGAGGGGACTGGGCTGCTCTGGAGATGCTCAAGATGCTCCCGTGGAGTTGTCATGGGCACGATGCTCATCTCCATGGATACCTGGGAATGTGAGGGATGTGGGAACGGGGCTGGGAGCTGAAAGGCTGCACGTTCCCTCTCAGCTGGTGTAAATAAGTAATGCCTGGAGCCATCCAAGGGGTTTGTTTCCAGGGTTAACAGCTGGGTTATTGTTTATGAAAAACCGAGATTTGCAGCGACTCCCCCGAGGGGTTTCCACGGTGGATTCCCTGGGGATCCAAGCATGATGCACTCAGAGGAGGCTCAGGGGGTTTTACTCAACCCTCAGCCAACGTGACTGAAAATCCCAGATAATATTCCTGCTTCTGAGCCAAGATTATGTGCCGGGAATGGCTCCCTGAGAAACAAAGCCGTGTGCAGATAAGGAAGTTGAGTTTTGACAGGGGTGTGGACAAGGAAACATTTTGAAATGAGGGGGTTTTTGGTTATTTTCCTCCCCTAGTTAACAGTATTTTGGATAAAACCAAAGATTGTGCACAGCAGGACCATCCAGTTAATGCGGTCTGGATGAGTGGAGAGACGTCAGAGCCAACAATTCTCCTGAAGGAATTTCTCCCTAATTTTATCTCTAACTTTAGCAAGGCAGCTCTCAGGCTGCATGGAGAACACCAGGATAACAGAATCCATGCAGAGGCTGGAATTCCAAGGGAAGGAAGCCACAGGCTTTTCAGAGCCTTGGGATTGCCGTGATCCCCGTGCCCTCAAAAGGAAAAATCCAGGGATATCAAGCACAGGGCGCAAAGCATTTTATCTGCTGATGCTTCAGGAGGATGGAGAATGGTTTTAGATGATGAAAATAAACCTTGCTGTGAGCCTGGTGGGAGGAGCACCAGAGGGCAAAGCCCAGCTTGGGAAATGTTTTACTCCACGATGGGCAAAGGGAATTTTTTTCTCACCCTACAATTATCCCCAAAGCTGCTTCTGAACTGAAGGAGACAGAAGGAAAAGTGCCCTTTCCCAGTAGCTCTGGAGACCTTGGCTTGGTCTTTCAGAGCCTTTCTCAAGCCCAGAGAGACCCTGGGGACAAAATCATGATCAGAGGGCAAAAAAGGGAGGAGATTGGGTTTGCATTTACGGCAGAGGATCAGGGCTGGCTGTTTATCCTGAGCTCACTCTGGGTTCGTTTCACCCTGGAAGCAAATCCCCATCCAGAGCCATTAAACAGCAAACAACAACCAGAACTGATAAAACAACACAGTTTATTGTTCCCAAAACCGCATTCTGGCCTGAAAAATCTGTGCCATCCAAAATATCCTCACGGCGTCGAAATTCCAAGGAGTTTTTCCACGTTACAAATAAAGGAAACCGGAGCAAAACCTCTGGGGCTTGGGTTCTCACAAAGCTGAGCTTGTTTGGGAGTTTGGGTTAGGGAGTCAGTAGGTAATTCATGGCTCAAAAAAAAAAAAAAAAAAGGGATTTTGGTAGAATTACATAACTCCTCAGCTGAGATTAAAGGAAATTTTAAGCTGAGAATTGGGATCTTATTCCTCCCTCGGTAATTGCTGGAGCTCTGCTGCACCAACAGCTTGAAAATGAACATTTTGGGGATGGGAATGAAATTCTGAACAACTCTCTCCATGGCAGCTGGTTTGTATCTAAGCTTCCTGAGCTGTTTTTAGGGGATGATGAGAAGGGCAGATGGGAGAGGTCATGGATCCTTTTTCTGGAGGGAAAAAGGGATGTTGGTGTCCATTGAGAAACGGGGAGAAAAGAAGGGAAACCAAATAACAATGGTAAAATTGGATACTATTGTCATTGCAGGAATAGGCTGATTCTGGCAAAATTGGCTGCACCTTTCCTGCATTTCTCCTCAGTTCCGGGAATAGAGGAGAACAATTTGGATCCTGAAATAGATGTGGGGGGTGGAAACACACCTGGGGTGAGCAGAGATCCCACCCCAGGCAGAGCTGCTGCCTCCAACCTCTGAATTATTGATTGGCATCTATTAATTATAGACTCTTCTGGGGTCAGTGAGTGCAGCACGAGGAAGGTGAGGTGTCCCAGGGGTTGAATTCCAAGGGGATGATTTGAGAAGGGAAGTGGTTTAATCAGCACCAGTTTGGTTCAGTCTTTGGTAGTCGCACAATACAGATCCAGACAAACTGAGATAGGAAAAAAAAAAACACCTCTGACAGAGGAGGCACTCACTTTTCATTTAAAAAAAAACTTCTAGGAGCTGGAAATTAGATGATTTCAGTCTTTAATTTACCCATACAAGTAATCAAGCAGAGGGAAGGTGCCTGTGTGGGGTGGGAGTGGAGGTTAATCATAAATCATGGCCTGGCTTTGGGTGGGGAATTATTATCCAGCTTGTTCTCACTTTCTTTTTTCTCCCAAAACCAAAGTGCCCTCCATTTTCTGGATTATTCCTTGGTGATTTACCATTAACTCGAAGTTCTTCCCACTTTTAATCCACCTACCTCCCAGGGAGGGAGCAGAGAGAATGCAGTGGTGACCATACACATAATATACATCTATTTGGGGTGAATTTCTCTGTCATTCATTATTTATCTGTTATTTATTGTGACCCACCTACGAGAAATGATTTTAGGAAGACGAACCAGCTGAATTCACTTTGTTTGTTGGCCTTAATGACCTCAAAGTTCTCTCCCTACCTAAACAACTCTGTGATTCTGTGTGTTTTTTAATCAGTGGATGAACTAAATAAATTTTGTTGCTTTTATGTTACTTAACATTTAAAGCAGATAATCCCTGTGCTCTCCTGCACCACAAAGTGGGTATTATTGCATTTAAAACGTAGCACTGCCGTGGAGAGGGGCTTATAGAAACGAGGCAGACCTTTCCTTTTTAATTATCTCAGCATCTCGTGACTCTAAGCCTTCAAAGCACATCCAGCTGGGAGCAGGAAGGTCGGGAATGTATTTCCTGGTTGAATCCCAGGTAGAAATGTCACTTTTCCCCACCACCAATCCTCCTCTTGCCACAAAATACTCCGTTTGAAAGCTGATTTTTTCACTCAGATGTTTTCCAGATGGGCCGAGGGCATCCCTGGAGAGGGGGGGGTCCTGCAGAAATCATCTTTCGGGCTTCAATTCCCTGAATCCCTCTGGAAAAAGCCTCTCCAATACCGACCTCTGCAGGCCAGGAACTGCCTAAAGCCGGCCGGCCCTGGGCAATAATAACCTAAATAATACATAAACCAGGTGTTTTCCCTGGTTGTGGGTAGGAAGAGCCTTTTAATAATGCATAAAAATGGGGCAATTCTCTCTTGGTTGGCAAACAGAGACTATTTCGGGGAGGGAGATCCCGGGAAATCCTCGTTAGGTGGATCTGCGAACTCCTGAGTGGATTTTGTAAATGATTCGCTGGTTGGACAAAGCGGTTTGAAACGAGGGGAATGAAGGATACGAATGAAAAGCGGGAATTTCATGCCATAAAGGCATAAACTGGGAGGCCAAGCCCTGCCTGGGCTTCTCTGGGAGCAGGGAAAGAGCCCCCTGACCACGGCAAGGGGATGGAACGATGGATCTTTAATGTCCCTTCCAACCCAAACCATTCCACGATGGAAAACACAGCAACCCCCCCCTTCACCTGCAGTGTTACTCCTAAGCCCCCAGCTCTAATTAAGCTCTAATTAACAGCATCCTGAGGGTAGGAGGGAGTTTTATGCAATGGGTTTTGGGGGGATGGAGTTGGGGGTCCCACGGGCCACTACTGGGGGCTTGACCCTCTTTGGCCATGGCCTCCCCTCAGCCCAGGAGTCCCCTTGTCCTCAAAACCCCTTAGCCATGGGCTCCCCTTCAGTCCCAGAGCCCCCTCAGGCCCAGAGTCCCCCCCTCAGCCCCTGAGCCCCTTCAACCCCAGAGCCCCCTCGGCCCTGGAACCCCCTCAGCGACAATCCCAGACCCAGAGCCCCCCCAGCCATGGCCTCCCCTCAGCCCTGGAGACCCCTCAGCCCCCTGAGCCCCCTCAGCCATGGCCTCCCCTCATCCCCAGAGCCC